GGATGCTATCTGCTTTCTGCAGTTGCCACTTCTGTGTTAACCTTCAATCCCTTTTTTTCTCCTTTTTTAGTTTTTCAATAGAGAGTTAATAATTATTTACTTATATTAAATTCTATTAAAATAACTGAAGTGGCTTTGTCTCCTGTCTGGGCTGGGCCCTGACTGATAGTGAGGACTTGGCCTCATTCATTTGATAAAAAGATGCAAGCCCCTAAAATGTAGATTGACTACTTTTGCATTCTCTAGGCCTGCTGCTCTCCTTGTAAAGTGGAGCAACTGGTGAATACGTTTCATGTATGAGACTGACCTCACTAAGTCAATTTTCTCCTTCTCCTTTTGGGAACTGCTAGGTTGTATGATTGTGACAAGGAAAACCTTTCTTGTTGGAAAGTTTTCTCTCTTTATAATCCGCTAGCTCTGTGATGGCAGAGAATATGATTGTCCAGCTATGTAACTCAGCACCTGGTTCAATGCCCAATGTACTAGAGAAGTAGTAAACTCTTACTAAGTGATGAATGAATAAATGGATGGATGGATGGATGGATGGATGGATGAGGAATAGATGGGTGGGTGGATGGATGGAAAGATGACATTACCTGATTTCAAAAATATTTAATAGTAGAACAAAAAAGTCCTCTTGAAAAAATGGTGTTACTTCATTTTTGAGTATGTGGATTAGGATTAGGTTTGGCTATGTGAGAAAGCTAAGTAACAGTGGCTTTTAAAAGGTGTTCACTTCTCACATAAGCAAAGTCTGGGGACAGACACTCCAGCTGGCCTGGTACCCCCACTATTAAAGGTTCTCTCTTTTCCGTCTTGTTCTATCTACCAACTTCATACTGTAGCTTTGACCTCCAGGAATCACACAAAACACTTTGCCTACATCTCCTTTGGCTAGAACTAAGTCACATATTCTGGGTGGCCATGTGCAAATCTGAAAAATGATGTTCTATTACTAAGGAAGAAGGGGGAAATGTGTGGTTGGTGCCAAATGGAAATCCTGTCATACAGAGGAACAATAACATAAAGCTGAGGGAGCCCTGGAGAACCTGAAGTCCCAGAGGAGGAGTTTCAAGGCTGAGACTTCATTTGGGGATTTACCTCCACATTTCTAGATAATTATGGGAATTCCACTCTCTGGAATCATCCATTTTAGATATTACATATTGACTTCCTCGTATGGTAAGTGAGGATTTTAGCTTTATTCACACCTCTCTTTTCCCCTCCATCCTTCCACTACGGTTATAACACAATTTTTGGTAAAGTCTATAATTGAGCTTTTTATCATTATGACCACGTAAATATTGTCTGCTGCCAAGTTAACAATTATTTCATTTTTCACTTGAATTTACAGCTAAGTCTTCCCACCCCCGCCAACCTCTATAGAACAACGCTCAGTGCAATGTTCTACACAGTCAACTCTGTCAGGATAATCTGGTGTTTTCTTTTTCTCCAGCCCCGCAGGCGCCTCGTGGACATACCTCCTCTCTTAGGTCTCTAGCTTCCTGTTGCTGTCTGGACGGGTTGTGGTGGTTTCCCGGGCTCTGCCGCATGGTTCTGAGCTGAGACTTTCCTCTCTCACCACCTCGGATGCCTCCTTAGCCTCCATTCCGCTCACGTTCCATTGGCTACCTGCTTCCCGGATTCTGCATCCTCTTTTTCAGCTTACCCACCTGGCTTAGTGGAGCACATCCTCTCTTAATTTGTTGACAAACGTGCAAAGACGTAACATTTTTGAGACTTTGCGTGTCTAAAAACACCTCCTTTCTACCTGTACAGATAAAAACTGAGTTTTAAAATTCTAGGTCAAAAATCATTTCCAATCAAAGTGATGACAGCTTTGTCCTGGGATCTTCTAGATTCACCATGTTACTGTTGAGAAATCCGATGCCGTTCTGATTCTTGCACATTTGTATGTGAGTGGGCTTTTCTGAAATTATTAGAATCCTGCCTTTATTCCTGATATTCTGAAATTTTACAGTGATATGCCTTGGGACAGTTCTTTTTAATTCATTTTGCTCAGCACCAGTCTGGACCAATATATCCGGGAAATTTTCTGGTGTTTATCTGTCAGTACCACCCTCCCCTCTACCTTCGCTATTCTGCCTAGAACTCTTGTTAGGCGGATATCTGGTGTCCTGGACTGATCCTCTCATTTTCCCATGTTTTATCTCCTATAATCCATCCCTGTGTCTTTTTTTAGTGTTCTTTTCCATGAGATCTCTCTGATGTTAGCTTCCAACTCTCTTCACTGAAAAACATCAACTATCACTGTTTTAATTTGAAAAGCACTTTCTTGTTCTGATTTTTAAAAATAAGTATATGGCATATTGTCTTTTTTTTTTTAAATGTACTATCTTATCTCCCTGAGAATATTATGGTCTGTCTCTCTTTTTTTGGTTTCTTTTTACCTTCGTTTTGATCCGTTTCTTTCTTGTTGAAGACCGTCCATTCCTATTAAGACTCGGGTCTTTAAAAGTTGATTGGGAGCTCTTTTTGATGGGCGTAATCATAGGATAATTTTTGTTGGTGCCTTCAAGTGCCTTTGTGGTAGTTCAGCTTCTCCAGAGGACCCTCCAAACTCCTACCTCTTGGTTAAGACCTAGCTGTTGGCATTAGATGTGTATTTGTATTTCACTTAACCCCCATTTTCAATCTGGACTCTCAGCTCCACAATCCTTAAGCATGGTCTCCAAGGTTCCCCAGAGAAAATGCCTCCCATCTTCTATAGAAAGGTCCATGACCCCTTGCTTTGTGGGGCTGGGATAGAAGCTACCTCCTACATCGCCTCCTCACTTTCATCCCTCTCCAGCCCCACCTTCCATGATGTCCAGCACCCAGCACCTCCTGAGACCTTCAGGACTCTGCAGGAGAAAATTGTTCGCTTCTTGTCTCCTTCAGCGGGCATCTCAGCATGATCTCCCCCTGCTCCACTGAGGCATTTACCATTCCCTTATCCCATTTCTTTGTACGTAGTGGATGGGATTGCTGGCTTCCCCCAGTTTCACTGAGAATGGGGTTTGTATAAGTTTTCTTTCTCTCTTTCCTATTTGGGGAGCAATTTCAAGAGAAGAGGGACAGAAACATCTTCACTCCACCATTGTAAAACCACAAGTCTGCATTAAGTAGACATTAAATCTATATTAAGTCTACCTTATCTTTTAATCCCCACAACTATCAACATTGCCATTAATAAAGCTGAGGTTTAGAGAGATTAAGTTCTCTGCCCAAGGTCAACATTTGGCAAGTGGCTTAGAACCAGGTCTGGCCAAGGGCAAATCAGTGCTTTTTCTCTTACTCTCTCCTGCCTCCAAACAGCCTGAGATCAAGAGAGGGTAGTAAACTATGGTCCAGCCTGGGGTTAATACCTGGAGAGACCACGTGAGGAAGCCCTTCAGGAACGAAAAGGGCTCCTGAATTTGTCAGAACTCCTAGGTGACTAATGTCTCTCAGAGTCCATGGGGAATCTAGACTGTTGGCCGAGGAAATCAATAAAAAAAATAAGATATACTAGAAATAGGGTCCAGCTTTGGGGGCAGGGGCTGAAGAACTTGGGGAGAATCCCAGACTCAGACCATGGAGAAAGGGAGAGGGCCTAAGTCCTAAGAGAACTTAGAAGAGAAATTGATTTCCAGGTTCCCGGAAGGAAAGGCCAGTGAGGCCAATGGTATCACACTGTGAGGGCAGGAGAAATGCTCTTGTGGGCACAGGGCTAAAGCCCGTCCTGGGACATCGGTAATTTCCAGACCCCAGCCTGTCATTGCTATCAGGATTGGACTCAGCCAGGGTGGGGATGAGCTTTCAGATAACTAATAGGATTGGTAATAGAACAACTTAGAACTGATAGTGTTGGTCTGTCTTTTATTTGCATAGCTCATTTTTTTTGATCCAAGAGCAGGTTCTTATATTAACTTGCTGTTTAATTTCACCTTGTTAGAGTCTGTCAAAGGATGGCACACAGGTTGCATTTCACAGACCATCCCTGATCAGTGATGGTTGCCTGGACCACCATGAGGAGAACGATTCTATGGCTTTGTACAGGCTCGGGGGAACCGCTGCTTATTGATGCCTGCCATGGGTGTAAGAGAGTTTAGTACATGTGCTATTACCGATTGAGGCCATCTCCTCTGCCCAGATTTGTGTCCTCCACACATGGGGTCAGGATGCTCTCAACACCATTATTCAAGTCCCTGATAAAAGCTGATTGAGACAGATCCAAGGGCAGTGCCATCATGTACAGTTTTGAGATTGGCCTGGAGCTTAGCATTGATATACAATCTCTGGATATAGTCCACCACATTTAGGATTGTTTTTGGAATTGATTTCCAGGTCACATTTTCCCATCTTGTGTCCAAGAGAGGTTTTTTCCCGCTATAAAACAGCTCCCTGAGGAGGGTGCTTTACTTTTACGTCCACTCCTGAGATGCAGGAACGAGGAGGTTGAGAAGTGAGTGGGTCACAGAAGAGAAGAGGTAAGTCCCTTACGTTTATGACCCCTGGGGTCCCATATTTAGACAGCAGCGCTTTGAGGACTCCAGCCTGTGGTCTCTTGTCATGTCCTGGGTTAATGCTGTGTCTGGTGCATGGGAGAAATAAGCAGTGAGGATGACACAGAGCATGATAAAAATAAGCAGGCACACTCCATTTCAAGCAGCTCACACTTTTATCATAAAATACAAACTTTCTATAATTAAGTGTCTTACTTCTATTTTACCAACAACAATAAAAACAAAAAATTACTCATGTCAGCTAAATACAGATGCATATGTGGTTGAGCAGGTGAGTATGAATATGAGGGAGGTGTGTGTGCAGTGAACGGTGTGTGGTGTGTGTGAGAGAGTTGGTCAATAGATGAGTCTGGTCTTGCTGTTTTCTGCCTGTGACCTCGTCGGAACCTTGGCTTTCCAAACCTCAGGCCACGCTATTACAGAATCCAGAGTTCCAGAGCCCTTAGCCCTAACCCAAGGGCTAAGGCAGGAGGAGGGAAGAGAAAAGGTCATCTAAAACTTTATGCCATTCCCACTGGAGGAAAAATACGGGCTGTTCATCACGGACCTGCCAGCCGTCGAGCCAAACCTGGAAGAGAAAGAAGATGGATGTTGAGATGGAACTCCTGATGTTAGCAGAGATATTAGGAAAAGGACTGTGTTAATTTTGTGGCTGTCAAGGACTAGAAAGATCATGACAGGCTTGGAGGCTACATGCCTTAACACAATAAAAAAGCCTCGGCTCTGGCAAAATAAAATATTAAAATGATACAATTGGAGGACAATAAAGAGCTTCTTCTGCCACTTCCTTAGGACAAGGAGCCCTTGGCAGCCTGTAGGGAGGCTGCCTCTATGGGCCCAGTGCTCTCTCCTTTTCCAGGACCACACTGCAGGGAGTCTCTCTGAATCTGAGCACCTTACCTGTGGGCCTAAAGCCATTCTACCTGCCTGAGAGGACCAGGTGTGTCCTTCAGGAATTCCACAACATTATGGAACTCAGGGCCATGTCCCAGTGTGAGATCCCAGAGTCTAGACAATTCCAGGGCTCCCTCTCCCCTTATCAGCACCAAGCTAAGTCAGGCTCCCCATTTCAACACCAGTTCGAGGAATACGCGTTGAGACATCACTGCGTGCCTGGAACTTTGCTTAGATCCTCAAGGAAGGAAGGGCTGAGAGCATTGAACCTCACCTTCCAAGCGTAGAAATATGCACACTTCTGCTTTTCCCCCCGGCACCACTGCCATGCATCCTCCAAAAGGGAGTTCAAAAGCCATCTCCTCTGTGACCGCTTCCTTGACCTCTCCAGATGGAATCATTTACTGACACTTCTGGGATCCTATAGCAATTTCTTCACCCATCTGCTAGGATGCTTTGAATGAATGGGAACGGAGCTCAGTACAAATTGCAGCAGAGCAAATGGCTAGATTTAGTCTAATCCAGGGATTCTCGGTCCCTTTTCAGCTGGGCAGATGCATATTACAGAAGATGTTCACGTTCACCACACCCTCCCGTGAATTAATGAAACACAAAAAGCGGGGTGGTGGGGGAGAGAAGAAGTGATGGGAACAAACCACCGCATTAATTTGTAATGCCTCAGCTGGTGTTGTATCTCTCGCTCACTCTGTGTCATGGGCAAGCTAGGCTTTGGGTTGGTTTGATTCCCTTCTCATTAAATAAATTCCAGGAGAGCAGGGACATTATCTGGACTGTTTGCCATTTTATGCCCAGAGGCCAGCCCAGGCCCTGGCACCAGGGAGGTGCCTCGTAAACAAGAATGCTGGCTGTAATCCCACCTCTTCTTCCCTCTTCCGAAACTCGTACTGGAAAAGAACTGATTAAAAGTCATGTTATTACAGGGATACCCTGGATTCTGCTCTGATTTACAAAATAAAAACCGGAACCCATACTTCAGCATTTAATAATTCTTAGTAACAAATGACTCAGGAGACACCTCATATCTGATTGCCATGCCCCACGCATCTAGGCCATTCAGGTTGGGAACTTCTGATGGGTTCACCTGCCAAGGGCATGGTCTGGACAGGATGTCCACTAGAAGGCCAGGGGGAGAGGCAACTCTGTGGACTAGAGTTATCAAGGAGTGCTTCCTGGAGGAAGAGGAAAAGCTCGAACTCGCTCGACCATGGCGAACTGACCCGGTTTGCCTGCAACAGCTTCTACACTGGCATTTGCAATGTGATTATTATTGGTGCTCTTTCCAAGTCTCAAGCTTGTTATTGTTTGGAAGATAAATTGCATGATTATCCTGCCCCATGAATGTATGCAATTGATTGGCAGAGGGAGGGGAGGGCTTGGCTCCTCCTTCCCTGAGAGCCACAGGCTCCTACCTCTCTCTCTTCATATGGCTGAGTCTCTTGGTTTGCTTCTTTGCTCCTGACCCTGCTTGTCTCCTGGGCTACACTCTCCCCCAATGCCCTTGCATGCTTCCTGCCCGGTACAGCCTCTTCTAGACCTGCTTCGCGCCCATCACTGGGAACCCCGGACACCACTGCTTCCTCCATATACACTGCGTCCCAGCCAGCAGGGCCTATGTCGTTCTGTGACCTCTCCCTCTCCCCCAGGAAACACTTCCTCCCCTGGCCTCCTGTACTCCACACTCACCTAATTCTTCTCTCACCTCACTAAGACTCCCTCTTAGATCCTCTGCTGGGTCCTCCACGTCTCCCCAAGCTCCCTATATGTAGGAGGCCCAGGGCTCAGACCTTGGGCCTCATCGCTTCTCCATGCACACATACTCCCTGGGCAATCTCGTCCCATACCGCGCCTTTAAATACCATCTATATGCTAATGACTCCCAAATTTATATTGCCAGCCCCGGCCTCTCCTCTGAGCCCCAGACTCACGTACCCACCTGCCTGTCAACAGCCCCGTTCATATGTTTAACAGGCATCTCAAACTTTGTATATCCAAAACCAAACTCCATCAACAGACCCTTCACTAGTCATCTTGACCTTAGTATTTTGTTTTTTTAATTTTTTAATTTTAAAGATTTTATTTATTTATTTGAGAGAGCGAGCAAGAGAGCGAGAGAGCACGATCAGGGGGAGGGTCAGAGGGAGAAGCAGACTCCCCGCTGAGCAGGAAGCCCAGATGGATGCGGGGCTCAATCCCAGGACTCCAGGATCATGACCTGAGCCGAAGGCAGCTGCTTAACCAACGGAGCCACCCAGACGCCCTTGACCTTAGTATTCGGGCATTGCCACTTGTTCAAATAAAAAATCAGAGAATCATGCTTGACTTCTCTCCCTTTCCACATCCTGCTATCATCAAGTCCTGTCAATTCGATCAAGAAAACAAATACTCCAGATTTTTTCACTTACCTCCTTCCCACAGTCTCTGCCCTAGTCTACACCGCCAGCATCTCTTTTTATTTATTTATTTATTTGTTTGTTTGTTTTAGAGAGAAAGAGAGCAGGGGGGAGGAGCAGAAGGGGAGGGGCAAAGGGGGAGGGAGAGGGACAAGCAGGCTCTGCACCAAACAGGGAGCCCAATGCAGGGCTCAATGAGGGGCTCAATCCCAAGACCCTGAGATCAGGACCTGAGACCTGAGCTGAAATCAGGAGCCAGATGCTCAGCTGACTGCGCCCCCCAGGCGCCCCCCACCAGCACCTCTTGCTCCAACAGCTGTCAGGGCTCCTATCCTGCATCCCTGCATCAGCCCTGTGGTCCAGGCTCCATACATTGACCAAAGCCACCTTCTTTAGACAGAGAATTAGAACATGTCCTCAGCAGTGTAAGAGCTTTAATAGCTCCCCACTGCTCTTAAAACTCCTCACCATGCCCCCCAGGCCCTATCTAGTTGGGCCCTGCTTCGTCTCTGATTTCAATTCCACTCATTCCCTCTCCTACTCACTGTGCTTCCGCCACATTGCCCCCACGGGGGCCCTGCCCAGAGTGCTCCTTGCCCGTATCTATTCTCTCATTTCACTCAGATCTCAGCTCAAGAGACATCCCTTCATTCTCTCGCTCCCTAACCGCCCCCCGCCCCCGCACTTGACATGTGTGCTGCTTGTTTATTTCTTCCCCTGGAATGAGAGAAGGAAATCCTTTTCCTTGGTCCTTCCCTCCAGGAAACGCTGCCTAGAACAAATCATCCTTTGGGGGACATGGGCCTGCACCCCGCCCCCTTGCCTCACTTTTCTGACCTCACTCTCAGGCCACACCAGGCCACCCTGCTGACCACTCCTCCCCCACATCACCATCCTCCTGCGCCCACAGTGTCTCCGGCAGGGCCCAGGCTCTCTCCCACTTCCCAGACAGCTCCTTCCTCAGCCTCTTGCTCACGCTTTTCTCCTCCCTGCCCCTCTGCAGATAGCCAGAGACCAGGTGTGGACCCTCGGCTCTTCGGCTCCCAATCGGTGCTTCGCACCTGCTGACTGATGAGACTTTGCAGCCACACCCCCTGCCCAGCACAGCCAGTTCTGGCTCCTGCAGTCTGGCCTCCCTTGGGCCTAGCGTCATGGTACAGAATGGGAAGTTGTTGGGTGCAGGTCGTCTGTCTTGATTCCGCCGCTGTCTCGTAGAGTCTCACCCCCAAGGGAGGTGAGAACCTCCGCTCCAGATGCTCCGGTCACCTCCAGGCTGTACCCTGTCTCACGTCCTATTTCCTCCCCTCCAGCCCATCCGTGCACTCCAGTGTGCACAGATCTGCATTGGGTCCCAGGCCTACCAGTCAGAGCCTTTACTATCCAAGCCCAATCTCCCTTTCTAATCCTATTTTCCACCTTTTTCAGGGATAAATTGAATACTTCAAGCAGACACCTTTGTTCCCCAGGCCTTGAGCCTGCCACACACTTCCCATCTAGGGCTGGACCCTCCTCCAACTGTGCTCCCTGGAACCTCCCCACCCTGCAGGCCCCCCAGCAGGGGTGTTCCCTCTGTCCTTGGGCCACTTGGATGGTCCTCACTTTCTCCCAGCACGAGGTTGTGCCCGTATCTCATGCACTCTCAGCCTCTGAAGGGAGGAGCCGTGTCCTTGTCAACTGTGGGTCCCCCACGGGCTACATTCATATTAACCACATGAATTAACACAGCTTTCCAGGGTGGGTTGGATGAAATGCTGTACAAGAAAAGGGAAGAAACGAGGGGGAAGGAGGAAAGGAGGAAGGAAGGGGAGAAAGGAAGGAAAGGAAAAGAGAAAAAAAGGAAAGAAAAGGGGTTGTGGATTTCATGTTCAAATAACACTATCGACCACCCCCGTGAACGTTTTCTATGCACCTTAGGAAATTAAATGCTCTGAGAATTCCAACAGTTAAGAAACCTGTTTATCTTTGTTTCTCACAGCTTTTCCTGAACAGATCCGACTCTGGAAACCTCTTTCTAACACGTAATTCTTTTACAAGGCATTCAGGGGAAACACTAACTGAAAGGATGAGAGTTTGGGGACACCCAGGTGACGTCACACTGAAGGTCGGTGGCGGGGGGCTGGACAGGAAGGGAATCCAGGTCAGGCTGGGGAATTTGTCCTCATCTTATCAGCTGAGTTTCTCCAGCTGGGGCACACGTTCCCCAGGGTGTGTGGACACTCAGATCGTCAGGAGGGACGCGGCGCCGCCTGCCTCTCGGAGCAGGAATACAGAGCTGAAGCTTGGGTGGGTGGGAATGAGCGGCCGTGTGTTGTTCTATCAAGACAACGAACATTAATTTATGGAGGACCAGCATGTAAAATTTGTGTGGAATTTTCAGCTAAAATGTTGAGTTTGTGTTGGCTGCTTGCTGCGAAGTCCCTGTCCTCTGCTGTTTGGGGCCCTTTGGTGGAAAAGCGTCAGCAGCCATGATAAGCCGCGGAAGCCCCTTCGGCGGGGCCTGTTACAAAGTCAACGGGATGTTGGCGAGATTAGCCTGGGAAGGAGCTCAGGCTGCAGTAACTGGGGGGAGAGAGCTCTAAGAAGATTACCTGGCCGTGTCCTGTTGTAAACCAAGCAAACGGGTAAAGGCAGATGTGTCATGCTCCGCCACCTGCCACCGGCTAAAGACAGTGTATCCGTCGTCCACTGCCAACTGGGCAGCTACGTTTCTGCAGCCAGACTATGGGGCCCCAGCCCCATCATGGGCCTACAACAGCGGCCCAGCAAATCCTGGACCAGCCTCCCGTCCATACCAGGTCCATCCAGGACCCACAGAGCCCCCCGACAGGCACAGGGGCCCTCCCTCCCTTCAGCCACGGAGCATATGTACCAAGAACACGCCAGGGAGGCTCTCCCAGCATGCCCCCTCCCCTCCCCGGCAGCTTTCTGGATACAGGGTGGACTTCCTGTGTGGGTTGAGGACTCACCCGTACGCCTGGGGGACCAGGTGCTGTGGCCCATCTCCTGCCATGGGGGAAGGGTCTCGGGGATTGGTGGACAGCTTTGGAGGTGTCCTCTGAGGGTATGGATAGTTGGGCTGGACGAAGGGGATGTAGCTCAGCAGGGGCGTGTAGGAAGAGCGGAAAATCTGCTGTCCCATCTGCTGTGCATTGTACGGTGTCACCTGCAGGTCAGAGATGAGAGAGGCAGGACTGGGTCCAACAGAGCCCACTGCTTGCAAACCTTACAGTTCCCGGCTCTAAGCCCAACCCCAATCCCAGCACCCCCCGCTCAGGCCCTGTGCCCTTCAGTCGCTGTGAGTGTGTAGACGGCACCGGGTTGGGATGGCAAAAGCCCAGGGCTCAGCTTCTGTATCTGACTGGCAAGATACTTAATTTATCTGAGCCTCGGTTTCCTCCTCTGTAGAATGGGCAAACACTCCCTTCACTGTATGGAGACTGAGTCAGTTGATAAAAGCAAAGAGACTGGTGCATAACAAATAGCAAATAAATTTTATTTCCATTCCTGGCCCTGCCTCCCTACTTCTTCCTCCGTCAATAACCATCCCAAAAGCCCTTGCTCATTTTTAAGCCTTTTACTACCTAAAAAAAAAAAAAAAAAAAAAGCTGTTGAGATTTATACGTCCCTGGCTTCTACCTCAGGATCGCAACAGACTCCAAGTCCAAGACAGCCCAGCTCGGTGGAAATGCCGTGCCTGGTGACTGGGCTGGTCCTGTGCCTGCACCGCCCGCTGGGGCAGCCGCCAGCCCCCCGTGGCTATTGGCTGACCCCTCGAACAGTGACTGCTGTGGATGAGGAACTGAATTGTACCTTTTACTTAATTTTAATGGATTTAAATGTAAGAAGCCACACGTGGCTGCTAGTGGTTACAGTATTGTACAGTGAGTCTAGGAGAAAGGGCAGGAAAGGGCAAAGAGATTCAGCTCAGGGAAAATCAGGAACTCAGTGGGCTTTTGGACACTACCCAGGTCCAACTCCCACCAAGAACCTGGGGTCCCGCTATCTGGCCCTTGACAGACCAAGGATCCCGTCTGTCTTATCTACTGATATCTTCTCAGCCCCAAGACAGTGCCTGGCACACAGTAGCTGCTCAATAAACATGCTAAATGAATGAATGCAAGAAAGAAAGAGAGAGGAAGAGGAGAGAGGAAAAAAGAGGCCACTAAGTGTCTTCTTGAGTACCCAAACTGACGGGGAGCTCATTACATTTCAGGCACTGTATTCTACCACTGACAGCTCCAAATGTCAGAAAACCCTCTTTTGTATGGAGCCGACATCCATCCTCCTGGATGCTGATGGGAGTTTCCGTCAAAACTGGGGAAACTTCTGGGCTTCCTCTTTAAAAGCAAGAGTCTGGGGTCCGAGGTGTGCAGGGGTTCAGCACACGGACAGCCCTCTCTCACCCTGCATATCCTTATCTAATTAAAAAAAAAATCACAAAAGCTAGGGCTTCTTGAGAGCTTAGGGCAGGGCAGGCCCTTCCTATGGATTCTCTCATTTAAACTCCAAACAGCTTGTGAGGCAGACCACCACTCTTCCCATTCTAGAGATGAGGAAATGAGGTTCAGAGAAGTTAACCTTGCACAGTAAGTGCTCCAAGTGTCTGAATTGCAGTCGGAACCCCCAAGGTGTAAGCCTGGTGCCTGTGCCCCTTTATGGCACCTCTACACCTGTTCCCTCTAGAAGCCCGAGCCCCTTCCTCCGGGCCCTCCCCATGTCTCCCCCAGGGGAAAGGTAGGACCTGGTGATGCTGGGCATGGGCCCCCAAACCCCACGATGACGAGCTAAAGGTCCAAAAGAGCCAAGAGCTCACAGAGAGAACCCAGGAAGGCACCTCCCTCCAGGACAGACGCAGAAAGAGCAGAAAATCCCCCTGGTTTTCTTGGAGGTAGGGGGCTGGCAGAGGCCCGGACCTGGGAGGGGACTGACAAGAAAGAGGAGACGCAGGTCCTGGAGCTCATGCAAGCCCTCTTTAGGGATGTGTCCCTAACTACGTGTAAACGGTATACACCATAAAACAGCTGTGTATGCTGCTTGGGAACCACCTCCAGGATATAGTTTGCTGACAAAAGTAATGATAGATCAGTGTGCCCAGAAAGCCACATTTGTATAAAATGTTTGTATAAATAGGTGCCACTGGAAAGAGACTGAAGGAACCAGCACCAGCGACTGCCTCTGAGATTTTTTTATTTTGTACCATGTTCTTCTATTACTTTTTCAGATACACGCACATACATGAGGTGGTCTCAACATGCTCCCTCTGCGGCTAGATGGACGTATTGCTGTTTGTGGGGTGGGGGTGACTGGTGGAGATCCTGTGAGCCAGACTCTCTCTCATCTCTATTCTTCTTGAGGATGCAGAGCCTCTACTGCTAGAAAAGCAGCTCTGGCCCATGTAAAAAAGTAGCCTATACCTATGGGCTCTTCTCTACCCTCTGGAACATTCCAACATACTTCAGGTCAGAAGTACAGTTTGCTCCCTGGGGGCGGGGGGCAGAAAAGAGGCCAAGGAGTGTGAGTCTGAGTGTGGGGTCTGTCCACCTGTGTGTGAGCGGGCCAAGACCAGCCTGGGGACGCAGTGCGGTGTCAGTCTCTCCCCTCACACCCCCATGTCTTCTCCAAGACTTTCAATATCTCTGGATACACATGTGTGTGCAGCTTAGCAGCATGCATGTACCTACATCTTCCTTTGTGTCTCTGTGAGTGCGTATCTGTCTCTGCCGCTTTATTTTGTGTACAAGAGGCAGTAAGCCATGGTCATTGGCAGCATGGACTCTGAAGCTAGGCTGCCTAAGGTCAGACCCCAATTCTGCCATCGTGTAGTCTTCAAGCAGATATCCACTCCTGGTCTACCCATGGAAGTGGGGGTACCAGATTTAGCACACGAATGAACAAAAAGACCTCCAGTTCAGTTTGAACTTCAGGTAAACAGCAAATCATTTTTTAATATAACTAGGGCCCATGCAATATTTGGGGCTTCCTTATACCAAGACTTTACTCACCATCTATCTGGAGTCTAACTGGATGTCTTAGATTTTAACTGACAAACTGACACGGAAGGAGATGACTCCCCAGCCCCACTGATGCCAGGCAAAACCATGTGATTTTCCTTGGCCAGCGGAAGGTGGGTGCACACGGCCATGTGCTAGCTCCAAGCCTAGGTTCTCAGAAGCAGTGGGTGTTCCTGCTCACCCTTCCCGCACTCCCGTCATCCACCACGGCAGGAGCCAAAGCTACTGCATCGTCAGCATGGTCCCCAAAGGGAGACTCATGAAACAGGCTTGAACCCAATCCCAGCCCAGCTCCACCAACCCATAGACCTGTGAAGGAAAACTCAGTATTTATTGTTGAAAATCTCTGAGATATTGAGGCTGTCTGTTGCCACAGCAAAAGCTAACTGGTGTGCTAACTTTAGGACCTTGAGCATGTTATTGAATTTCTCTGTGCCTCAGTTTCTTCATCTCTAACCTATTCCACAGGGTGGCCGTGAAGTTCATTCAGGTAAAGCCCTTAAAGAGGGGCTGCAACGCAGCAAGGGCCATGGGGGTGCCAGCATTTAGCACCTGGGGACATGGGTTTCTTTCCACGTGCATGTTGGCCTTCATGTCTGTTCTCTAGGGCCAAGGGCGGGCCAGAAAGTCTGGCCAGTGTCCTGCTGGACCAGGATGAGGAAGCCGATGTCCTTCTGATCTGAAGGCCTTCGTGGAGCTGGGACCGAGGGGAGGAAGTTGTCTGCTCACCTGTCGGGAGTAACAGCCCAGCTGGGGGTGCAGGGCCTGCTGGTAGGGCATCCTGGCTGCACGCTGTGGGTACTGGCCCTGCGGGGAGAAGGGGCAGGCTCAGCATGGTGGGGCAAAGGGCTCCCCGCCAGAGAGCAGCAGCTGCTCCGCCCAGCTTCCCACTCACAATGCCTGGATTGCCAGCCTGCTGGAGTCCGGCCCACCACGCTGCTGGCCAGACCCACCCGTTGCCTGGGCAGCCATCAGGCTGAGCAAGCGCAACTCACACCGCACGGGAAGCCCCTGCTGAGCAGGATTCATAGCCTTTCCGGGGAGTATTTCAGGTAAAACCTTGAGGGACCTGATTGCCTCTTGAATCCCAGATCTGCCCCTTCGGTGGCTGTGTGACCTTGGGAAAGTTGCTTCACTTCTCTGAGCCTCTTTTCCCTTGTCTATAACATGTGTTCAAACCGGGAAGGCCTGTGACGGCAGCCAAATTATCTTTGTTGCTATCTTCACCCTTTTCTTAAGTGCCTTTCCCCAAACTCCATTCCTGCCCCAAGACCTGAGGTATCGATGTGCATCTGTGTGTGTGTGTGTCTCTGTGTGTGTGTGTTGGTTTGCATCCATGTTTATTTAAGCACATCAACACGTGTGCTTCCATTTGTGTCCTCAGCTGTGTGTTTCGGAGAATTCGTTTGGGTCTCTGCTGCTGTGTGTCTATGTGCCCACACATACACCTGTGTCTGCACCTTATGATGAGGATTGGCAGGAAGATAAATGAGTTAGTGCGTGTAAAGGGGCTTAGAACAGAGCCCAGAACGTAGTAAGGATTCTGCGAATGTTAGCTATTTGCAGCATCTCTCACTGCTCCCCCACCTTGAAGAGGTGGTCAGGCAGTTCAGCCAAATGGGAAGTAGAACCTTTATTCAGAACTCCGTCTGGGGCGGCCTTGGGCGCCCGGGTGCACGCGCGCGCGCACACACACACACGCAACCAGCTTCTGGGGGTGGGGTCAGATCATAGCCCCTCCGGGCTCAGATTGCCTTTACCTGCCAATTCAGAGTTATCTCCTAAGACATAGCTCAAAGCACCCCTCAGGCCAGTATGTCTTTCCAGAAGATTCCGAACCCCAAGATGGTGCCCCCATTCTGGACTCAGTTTGTGCCAATGATCAAAGTGTTGATGGCTGACACTGTGCCCTTGATGACTTCCTCAGCGCCCGTGGGCTCCTCATCAAAGGCTGCAGAATCCGTGATATGGGGCCCCACCTACCAGGTCCCCAAGTGTACGCATCCTCTAGAACCTCCCCTGGCTCTGTGCTCCCGGGCGACTGACAGAGAATGCAGTCGGGCTGCTCCCACTTCCACCAGCCCCTTCACCTGCAACCGGAGCACCTGCTCCCCTTTTCTCCAAGCCCTGTAGCCCCGGGGCAACCCCACTCACGGCCATGACCACGGCCTGGTCTCTGCACCCCCTGCCATGGCCTGAACCTCAACAGAGCAGTCAGACAGATGGGGCCTCCCTGGCCTAGTGAACGGCGAGCTCCGAGGCCAGGTTCTGTGTACCCCTCTCCCTCCCCATCAGCCTGGGCTCTGTGGCGCATGGCCAGCTCCCCCAGGCCACCGTCCTCCCCACGCCTGGGCTGGGCTGCCCCTGGGGCCTGTGGAAGGCAAACAGCCACCTGTCCCTGCTCCGCCCTGGACGGATTTTCAGGAGACAGTACCACATGCATCAGTATGAGTAACACACTCGCCGACTTTGAGGACATTCCTAGTTGTTCAAATTGCAATTCTGCAATTCTGTAAAATCACAAGCAATCACAATCACAACATTCTTTCTTCTTTGCTTGAGGTCACGGCCCCTTTCTACCTTCTCTCCTTAACTGGGAACAGAGTTCCTTTATGCCAAGCAGCCCAGGAGCCTCCAGATCTCCTGGGTGCTGTGGACTTAGTTTTCCATGGCTCTGCATCGCTCCACAGTGGAGCTCTGAGTAAATTGGATTTGGGACCTCATCTTTATTCCTAACACCATGCAAGAAAAGAGACTAGGATAGACTGTTCCCTGTTTCTCCTCTCTGTCTCCTCAAGGTCTGTGCAGCTCCCTGACCCTCTTTCCTAGGAAGATCAGGGCTGAATAATAATAAAAACCAACATCTGTATCATACTTTAGACTTTTCAAAGCCCTTTCTCACCCATGGACTCAATTAACCTTACAACCGAGTCAAGTACAGGCCACGCCGCTACTGCTAATTTTTATGAGCCCATTTCACGAGTGAGGGAAGGAGGGCTCAGAGCCTTTAGCTAACTTTAGTTTGCCCAGAACCACACAGCTTTAAGCAGCAGATTTCTTTAAACGCAAGTCTGCCAGTTCCAAAACCTGCATTCTTTTTATTACGTCAGGCCCCTTGATGAGCCGTCTCAAAGCTGGATGGCATTAGGAAATCATAGGAAGCTTCGAGAAGGTAAATTGCCCTGTTCTCCATCATTCCCTGGGAGGGTCAGTTTCTCCAGCCGAGGCCAGGAAGGCTTAGAGGCAGCCGTGCGCTGCAAACACCAGCATCTCTGAAAACAAAGGACCTTCGTGCTCAGATAATATGGTCGAATCTCACTCCCTCCAAAAAGTCAAGCCAGAAGCAGTTGACATAGCAAGTAGCTATTATCTTTCCGCTCTTTATAACGCAAACCAGCATGCATCCACTTTATACACTGAGTTCCAAGTGCACTTAGAGTGAATCGGTTTACACTGCATAAAATTATGCAGCTGCTTCTCTTTCAGAGGTGGGGTGCACAAAGTGCAGGTCTCCGATTTGTGCCTGACGTGTGTTGGACTCTGAGTGTCTCAGTCATCTTTGAAAGCCCTCGCCTGGCCAATACTCGGCCTGTGGTTGGGGTGGAGCAAAGGTTTTTAAATTACTTAAATGAACGAGTAAACACATAAATAAAAATGAACACGGTGGTGAGTAGGTGAATAAAGGACTGAAAAGTGAAGGAGCAAACACAAAAACGCCAGGGTGAGGAGTACTAGAGAAGAGGTTGGTGAATGGATAAGGGCGCGAACAGGGCACTTCGCTCAAGACCTGGGTAAGGACGAGACAGATACAGGACTGATGCATGCTGGCCTCCCCCTCCATCACGCTTCGTGACAGCCCCAGCCCAAGGCTCTCCATCCTGCAGGGGGAGGGGATGGGCACTTGTCCTCTTTAGCAAACAAACAAACAAAAAGCCTTGAAAACAAAACATCAGAGAGAAAGACAGAGACTTTGCTAAACTCCGTGAGCTTCTGTTTAAGCTTCTGGGGCTAAGTGTGGCGGTCCAGCTCAGAGAGGCTCTGTGTGGTGTAGAGAAGATCCACCTTCTGCGCAGGGGACACCTAAGCCCTAAGGCTTGCCGCTCTGTTGTAAAGGAGGAAATGCACAGAGACCGGACAAGATGATTTGCAGGTGTATTGTCTTCTCTGTGTGCCTTCTCCATGCTTTGCTGGGCCAGCCAGGGGCAGCAGGCCCCCAAGGACCTGGGTGTACGAGTTGGTGTGTCTTGCCCATATACCTACGTGCCATTCTGGAGAGGAGCTGGGGCAGGGACCAGAAGACTAAGAAATCTCAGATGCTGAGCACCTTTCCTGAAGAAACTGAGCACTACCTAAAGGGACTGTTGAAGTTGTTGAATTAGACTAAGGTTTAAACCAGACTGGACATTGATTTGATTTTTTTTTTTTTCCTCCTTCTGCCTGGTGGGCGACAGCTCTTAAAGGAGATTGACTTAAATAGACAAACTAAAGAAACTACATTTTCCTGCATAAATAAGTTCCGTGAGTAAAATTTCCAGCCCTGCTCCTCGTGTTGCACCATCCCTTTGTGTCTGGTCACTAATTCCCTTTAGGTTAGGAGCCCAAGACCGCGAATGTGCGCCAGGCCACCTGAGCTGTACAAGCTGAGACTACTCAGATGTTGTTTAAAAAAGGTGGCCATATAGTTTGGCATCCACACCAGGACACTTGAGATAATAATGCTGGGACAAGAGACCAAAACCGGAACTGGCCCAAGTACTCTAGGACACATGTCATCTAACTCTAAAGGAAGTCATAGCAGGTGGGTGGGAAACAAGAACCATGCCCTCATCCTCTGCTGGGAGCCTGAGCACTTCACCGGCCAACACTAGCAAAGCAGATACATAACACAGAGTGAGCTGCATTTTGGACGATGGAAAATTTAAGAGAGTGTGTGTGTGTGTGTGTGTGTGTGTACCAAGTAGTTGGTCTGATGTGGCCACAGTGAAGAAAATAGCAAGTCTAAGGCCTCTTTGTGAATTAGGCTCCCTGCAAACCACCACTTCTCCGTGGCTGGAACCTGGGGAGCCAGGCCCGGGACCCACTCACTCACCTGGTACTGTGCGAAGGTGGAGTGATTTGTGAACATGGGCGGAGGTGGATAGTTCAGGTTGAGCCAGAGCGGCTGGTTCGGGGTGGCTGAGGTCAAGGCTGTAGCAAAGCGCGGGGTGAAAACATTCCCTGTGTACTTGAGGTTGCTCTTGTCGGCCGCCGTCACAGGTGGGTTAACTGTGAGCCACAGGAAAGGGAAAGTGTTTCAGTGATTGAGGAGGAAGAGGCCAGCACACCCTCAGCACCATGACTACCCCGGGATTCATGTTCTCAGATGTCAGGTCCTTTAAGCTCCAAGATGGTTCTTCAAAGTGTGGGTGACTTTCCAACTACAGGAAAACATCGTTAGCACACACCTGGCCAATTTGGAAGAGGTGTGCATCCCAGCATGGTCTGGCTTAGAGTTCTTTCTCCATCATTCACTAGTAAAGGAGGTCGTTTAGCAAGAGAAAACAATAAACCAGGATGCTAGGGCTACAGTTCACCTATGTAGAAAACCAAATGCTTTTCAGTGCTTTACAAAAATCCAGTTTTATACCAACAATTGCTATGCCGTTGGCATTCATTCTTACCAAATTATTAAAGCAGCCCCTGAGGACCTATACTTGGCGACACTGAGGACCCTACCCAGGTTGTTGTATCTACACTGGCATTATTTTTTTTAAAAATCTTCAACATTATATAATTGACACAGTATGACCCCAAATTAGTCTGAATGAATGAGATCTGGTTGGGTTGTTCTAGGATATGAATCCCAGATTCTCTCCCTCTGGTAAATGTCCTGTGCTTCCAAGAGTCTGAGATGGGACCTCAACTTCCCCTTAGGGGCATCTTTTTGGACAAAGGAGGTTTGGCTGAAACAGTTGTAGGGAGAGAAAGCAGGGACATGAATAATCTCAGGGTAGAAATAATCTGAAGCGTGGATTTTTCTTTGGCTTGAGCAACTTGAGCGGATACGATGTATGCTGGCTCGGGGCTGTATTCAAACTGACCACTCATGACACCCCCGGGACCCTGAAATTCACCTGTATTTCTCTAGCAGTTGTACTCCTGATAAGGGACGTGGGAGAGAGTCATTTCTCCCATTTTATGAGTTTAAAAACTGATGCCCAGAGAAAGCCAGTGACTCGCACATGGACGAGGCAGCCATTTGGCGGCAGAGCCATCATAGGCCTATTGAGAGTTTCTGGAACCCCTTCCTCTACAGACTCCCCCCGGGCAGGGTCAGCTTACGTTTCAGCTCCAGCGCATCCACCTCCACTTTCCTGCGAAGCTTTAGCTGAGCGCTTGGGTTTTTGGCGGCCCCAAGAAACTCATAGAGCAGGTTCTTCTTGGCTGGCCACGCAGGCTTCTTGGCTGGTAGGGCCATGGAGATGGAGCCCACTGGGTCACTGCACCCTTCCTCACCACACGTGTCCTTCCGGCTCTGGGGCCACTGACTGAGAAAGAGGCTCTCTCGACCCTTGGTCGGCTTCTTGGCACCAGAGTTCCATTCTACAGCAGGAGGGAAACTGAGTCAATGGCTTTGGGAAGCCACGTGCTGGATGCAGGGAGCACTGTCTTGTGGACAAAGCAACAGGTCCTCCCTAGCACACACCTGGGGCTCAAACCACTCTGGGGTCTTCCTCCCAGCCCAAGCCAGTCCTGGTCTTCTCCCTGACACCTTCATGGACCACTGCCCATTGCTGCCTTCCCCTCTCATGCATGTGTACATGGGTCCGTCCATCCATCCACTCATCCATCCATCCATCCATCCTCCCTTCCTTCCATCCAAGCTTCTTTCCTTCCAATTACCTTTCTTTTCTTCTCTCCCTTTCTTTCCTTTCTACGTTTTTTCTTTCCTCTCTCCCTCTTTTTGTTTCTCCCTTCCCTCTATCCATTCACAACACCAAGCTTGGGATACAGAGCTGCTTTCAGCCCCGCCACCCTGGCTCCATGGGGGAGGCTTGTGTTCCTATAGAACACGTGGCCTAGCTGAGGTCCGGCCCCTCACCGTGGACTCTACTCCTGCTTTGTTGCTCATGGGTGATCCAGCCCATTTGTCAGCGTCAGGCCCTGACCTGAGTACTGAGGACACTGATGAGTCAGAGCCAGACTCAGCCCTGCAGGAGCTCACAACAAGGAGGGAGAGAGAGACAGACCCAGAAATAGCTCCAGGACAAGGCAGATGGGAACCGTGAGGTGACAGAGGGACACAGTGGGAGAAGAGGGTGGCTGAGACGGCTTCTATCGGAGAGTGTCAGAGGCTTTCCAGAAGGAAGTGGGCCTTCCGGGAGGCCTTCCGTCCAGGAGTACGGGGAGATGGCACAGCGGGTGCGGGCATGAGAGAGACATGGTGAGTGCATGTCCCCCCAGTGCGGGCTGTGGGAGCCAGGCCCGGGCCTCTCTGCAAACAGACGGAGTGGTCCCCTGGTGTGAGGGCGCTGCCTGGACCTTCCCAATACCCTCCACAGCAGTGATTTTTCACCTAGATTTCCCTTTAAGCAAAGGGACTCGTTCTTCAAACAAAATTAACTATGGGCGAAATTGTATATATGTGGGTTTGTTTGTTTTTAAGGCACTGTCTGGTTGAAGCCACACTCTTCACTCCTTTCCCAGCCTGGAGACTTTGCAGGTCTCCATGGAGCTTGGCTGGGAAATCGCGCTGGACGCACGGCAAGCACCTTGGATCATTCCTGTAGCGGCTGGACCAGAGGACCTGTGCCTAGTGCCACCTGTTGGGAATGGATCTGATCCCTCCAGCGTGTGCCCTCACTGCAGCCCAGCGGTCTTGTGGCTGAGTCTGGACAAGACTGGGCCTGCCCTCCTAGCACTATCCCAGCAAAGGAAAGAGGGCTCTAGCCTGAGCCAATTTAGAAGAAAATGACATTTTTAGCAAAACATGTCCCTAGAGTCTCTTCCAAGAGTTTCTCTGGTTGCCAAGTTTAGCCCCCAGCCAGTGTGCTGAAATAACAGTACCCACTAATAATAGCCCTTTCCCCAGAGACCCACACACCTGCAGTCTCTCACATACCTCCCATTGCCTTGAACACGCGTGCCACTCACTCAACTTCAAAGCTCCCTCTTCCAACGTCTGTGTACACAGACAGACACACACACACACGTTCTTGCCTGTCGCTCCTCTGCCCCACTTACATGTGCACAACGATGCACACAAGATGGATACACACAGACACATACACGCAGACACACTCAGATGCACCCACACCCACATTTTCTCTAACAAACACACCTAGACCTATAAAATTTCCTTTGGCACACCTTTGCCCACACATCGATACACAGCGACAAACACACACAGTGGGGCAGGTGGGTGGGACAGGGCCACCTCCAAGCCTGCAGCCCCATCCCTCAGAGAGCTCTCAGGCGTCCTTCCTGGAGAAGGCGGTGGCAGGAAAGTCCCACCCTCCGGGCAGGGCTCAGCCCTCACACACACAGCTCCCAAAAAGCCCACTGGGTCCCAGAGGCCTTCCCAGGACCCAGAGTCCAGGTTGCTGTCCCCAGCTCTGATTCCTCGGCCTTCCCACAATGTTCCAGAACACAGAACATGCACCTCTTTTATTAAGGAGATGGATTTGTGCCGTCCCAACACAGCATCTCAGTTATCCATCCATGCTCACAGCCTGGGGGTGATTTTTCTTTTGGTTGATGTATGATCAACTCTCCTAAAGACTGCTGACTGTAGGCAAATGCCTCTGCCTTGGAACCGTCCAGTCTGAGTGGCTGGATCAGAACAGGCACAACATGCAGAACCTGGAGGTGTGGTGAGGGGAACTTGGGAGGTGGCTGGGCTTTTGGGAAAGGGTATGGACTCCTCAGTTAGCAGGTGGAAATGCACTGTTCTAAGGCTCAGGAGTCCCAGGGAACAAGTCCAGGCCAACAGTCTGAATGGCACATGGAGAGTTTGCACGTTCACCCCCAGGCCCAGGAGTGAGGACCAGTCGTCGTGGTCAGAACAGGTGCCTCCATCGGAAGCCAGATGACGCCAGCTGCTAATCATATTTCTCTCCTCCCATCCAGCTTAAAGTCCCCATGCTGCAGTTTCAGCTGGGGTAAATGCTTCCTTCAATGTGCTCTGGATACCTGGATTCAAAACATGAGCCAGGTACCACATGTGCCTATATCTCTTCTCAAAGTGCGTTGGGATCCAGGCCACTGTGTTTGCTTACATAAGCCATATCCCCATACGTGGGCATCCACAGAGGGGGCCTGTAAGTGCTGAAAACAGCCTGCACTTGGGGACTGCAACACATCAGAGAGACCACCCTGTCCTACTCTGCTAAAGATGCTGCACGCCCCTGCTGCAGCCCTGATTGGCTTTCTGGTAGGTCCCTCCCTGCAGGCCCACTCACTAGCCCTGCTCCCAGCCACCACTCACCCATTAAGAGGTGCCTCTCCATGGCGGAGTCAGCCTCGGGCTTGGAGCAGATCTTGGCAAACACCGGGAGCTGCTTCTTCTGAGCAGGGAGCTCAGGGAGCTTGTCAGGGGGTGCGGGACGCGGGGGCGGCAGCAAGAGGAAGGGGCCCAGCTCTGTGGGTTCCCTGGATCCCAGGCCGCTGAACATGCTGTTCTGCAGGAAGTCCTTGATGACCCTCATCTCCTCCAGCACCATCTTGTTGTCAGGAACCTTGGTTGCCTCTGTGGACTTCAGTGGGAACTGGGCCAGGAGCCTATTGATTTCTGAGTTGGAGGCACCCAGGATGTGGCCCCCATCCTCTGTCCCCTTGACACTCTTGACCTTGGCAGCACGCAGAATGCCCGTGACTGTAGACATGACAGAGTCGCGGTCCTGCCGGCTGCTGATCACGGACACGGCCACCTTCGGCTCCAGAAGTGTGTCGGCGGCGATGATGGTGGTTCCGGGGTACTCAGTGCTGTTTGCCACAGGAGGAGGGGCGAGGAGGCAGGGAGCTGGCTGTCTGGGCCCCTCAGGGGAAACGCTGGGTGCGTCCAGCTCCCCCGAGCTCTCTGTGACTAAGATGATGTGCTCTTTGGTCAGGCTCAAGAACTCCTGCTCCACCAACAGGGAGATCTCATCTTTGTCACGGCTGAGCTCCAGAGCTCTGCAAACAGGTCAGAAAGAGGGGCTTTGGTACCAGCTCACTCGGCGGGGGGGTGGGGGGTGGTGGTTGGGGGCTCTGTGGCAGGCCCCAGGCCCCAGGGAGAGGGGATGGAGAGAACACATCTCCAGGTAAGAGAAACCTACTGCTTTCTCAAGAGAGAAAATGGACAAACAGTGGATTCCCAAGACGTTTCTACGCCAGGCCAGCAGGACCAGGACCAAGAGCGCAGGTCTGGGAATCGGGAATCGGAGTCTTCTCCAGATACTCCATCTTGCTGAATGAGCTGAGCCTGAATTTCAGTCCATCCCTCCCTGTTCGGTTGTGCCCAGGACCTGAAGCAATGAAAGACCAGCCACATCGGGGCCGGGAGTGAGTAAACAGCTCTGAGCATGGAGGCCAGAGTGCTGGGGCTGAGCCCTGGGACTAGACAGCTGGACTCAGGCCCTGGCTCCCTCACTTCCCCACTGTGCCTGTGGGCAGGTTGCTCAGCATCTCTGTGCCCTATCTCCTCATCTGGTCAACAAGAATAACAGACATGTGCAAAGCTTTGGACAGGGTCTGGCACAGTTGGTAAGAGCCATCCAAGGTGTGACAGCCTGGCTGGATCCTGGAGTCTACACTGTGGCCCCGTGGGTGGATACCTGTGTTTCCCCCCTGGCTGGCACAGCCCTCTGACCAGATCACGGCCTCTGGACTGAGCCCCACTTCCTGGGAGCAGGAGCAGTTGCTTGGGGACTGCACTGATTCCCAAGCATCTCCCTGCACCCACACACTGGTCTCTACCTGCACCTCCAATCCTGGGCCCCAGCTGGATGCTTGATGGTCAACACCAGCCCAATGGGGCCGATTGGGCCCACAGACTCCAGGCTGCTGTTTGCTGGCTCTTTCCAGGTGTGGGAGAGGATGACAATCCTGCCGGCCTGGCATCCTTGGCAAGGGGGCACCTTCCTCCCTGGCACCACCAGAAGGACTGTGGTGACCTAGCTTAAAATCATCTGCTCTCCGTATTTGATGGGCTCCCATAAAAAGTGGATGAGGTGGTCTACAAAGAGCATTCTGGAAACTGCTCAATGCCCCTGGGGGAGGCTGGTGAAGACAATGAAGAAGGGGCAGGGGGAAGATGAAAGTGCCCACGAGTGGCGTTTCACCGTGGGGGGGAGGCCTGGTGCACACTCCTACTCTGACAGGTCCTCCCCAGGGCTCAGCGAGTCCCTCGAGCAGGGACCATGAATCCTGCCAGTAGGGATGTGCCTTCCTCATAATGCTCTTTGTGTTTGAGCACATACAGCCTCATGCATGCACAAGAACAAATGCACACACTTGGGAGTGTGTTTGATGCACACACCAGCGCGGGCACAAAACGACTCATACGTCAAGACCCTCACACGCTGAGCCAGGGGAAAAGTCACGGTACTGGACAACCACTCGGAATGGGCACGCGCGACAGTCCCAGGGGCTTCCAGCTGCGCCAGGCGTTACCCCCTTAGTTGCTGGGTCCTCGTGAGGCCCAGGGGGTCCTGGGAAAGGAGGTGGGTGGCGAGGGCCCTTGGGAAACATAGGGAAGAGCATGTTACTACTCTACCAACTGAGCTGGCGTGCCTCCTGGTCACCAGCCCCGCAGGCGGCCTCAGCGGACTTAGAAGCAGAGAGGGGCCAGGAGAAAGCGGACCCCAGCCACGCAGACCAGAGTCTCCATCAGGCACTACTGCCTATTTCATGTCAGACCCTGGAACCGCAGGGCCTCCCCTGTAGCCTGGGCATGACACCTGAACCATGGGGGTGACACCGGGGTGAGAACGTGGGGAGGTGACCCGGGTGCGAGCTCGGCATGTGTCGGCTGGGAGCTCCGGAGGGCGGCACAGCTGCAGGGAGACGGGGCCATCTTCCACTCTGGCTTCCTCATCCCTTCCATTCTCTCCTCTCCCTCTTCCCCTCCTCCCTGCCCTCTCCCATTCCCTTCCTTCTCTCCGTCCCATGTCTAGACTTCAGCTATAAATAGGACCCACTCTCACGGCCGTGTCCCTGCGAACAATCAGAATAAAGAGACCCCCCTTCTTCCTCTTCATCATCCTCCTCAAAGGGAACAGGTGAATCTCGAGTTACAGAAACCAGACATTTGATGGATCAGTTTTTGACTCACCCTTCTACAAAAAAAAAAAAAAAAAAGACTTGCAAAGCAAGCTATACACCAATAGTTTTTTTTTTAGAAAGACCTACTACAATTATATCAATTTTAAAACATTATGATAATGGTATCGTGGTTTATACTGAACAAAAAAAAATGAGTCCCTATCTCTTAGAGGTAGATAAAATTATGTCTAAGATATTCTTTAAACCTAATCCAGCAGGGGTGGAGGGAAGATGGGAGCATAACGAAACAAAACGGCCATGCGTTGACCATCACTAAAACTGTGTGATTGATAGGTATGTGGGTTCATCACGTACTATTGGCTCTACTTTTGGCTGGGTGCGTGCGTTTTTAAATAAAAATGTTACATAATAGATACACATAGGAAAAGTCTCACCACTTGAATCGTCTCAAGTACAAACTCCAAGGAGAAGTCAAAGCAGATTCTAAAAGACCCTCAGGACCGTGGGGTCCCGGTATCAAAAACCAACCACAGATGGTCCCTTCTTAGCACCTGAGAGGACCCACCTGCCCCTCCCCAACCTCGGACACAGGCAGAAGGAGGCTGAACCCCTGTCCTTTGTTTTTTTTTTTTTCATTATGTTCAGTTAGCCAACATATAGTACATCATAAGTTCTTGTAGAGTTCAATGATTCATTAGTTGCATATAGCGCCCAGTGCTCATCAGATCACGTGCCCTCCTTAATACCCATCACCCAGTCACCCCACCTCCCACCCCTTCCCTCTATAACCCTCAGTTTGTTTCCCGGAGTCCAGAGTCTCTCATGGTTTGTCTCCCTCTCTGATTTCTTCCCATTCAGTTTTCCCTCCCTTCCCCTATGGTCCTCTGTTCTATTCCTTATATTCCACATATGAGTGAAACCATATGATGATAATTGTCTTTCTCTGCTTGACTTATTTCACTTAGCATAATCCCCTCTAGTTCCACCCGTGTCGATGCAAATGGTGCGTATTCATGCTCTCTGACAGCTGAGTAACATTCCATTGTATATACAGACCACATCACCTTTATCCATTCGTCTGTTGAAGGGCATCTCGTGAACCCCTGTTCTTACTCCTCTGGCACATTACAGCAGTCGGGGTCTCTTAGGAAGCTGGCATTCCCAGCAGGGGCAGCGCAGTGCCAAGAATGCAGGGCCCACTCTGGCTGTGGGCCCCCATGTACCCCTGAAAGGCTGTCCCCAGGCCCCCAGCCCTCCCTCGGGCCAGCCTCCACAAACTCCTATTTCCCTTGCATCAGTCACAAACCCACTACAGGCCAGACAGGAAGCCAGGCATCCCTATACATGCTTGAATTTCATCCTCTCCACACTCCTGGGCAATAGACAGCATCATCCCCACTTTACAGATGGGGAAAAATGAGCCTGAAAGAGGCCAAGGACCTTGTCACCTAGAAAGTGTGGGGATGCGGGTGGGTTCGGCTGCCTTCACGACCTCCTCCTACCCCACCCGGCTTCCTTTCCAGGGATAGCTATCCAGCAAGGACCCCCTGCTCCATGGCTGAGCTCTATTCCCCAACCCGAGTGCAGTCGGGGCTATTGCTGGTTTCATTCCGTCTCTCCAGCCTGCGGAGGATCATCACGGTGAATTCTGAGTCTGTCATCCGTGGCATTAGCTGTCCCTGACAGCTCCATGTCAGCTGCATGTCTGACGAGCATGTCTCCTGGGTCTTCTGCTAATTTATGGATAGAAATGTTGAAGGGAATGAGTCCAGGGCCGAGCCTTGGAGACATTGCCGGAGACCCTCCCCACAGCCTGACAGTAATCCTGGATCAACACTTCAGGGGAATAAATCAATTCTGTCACTATCATCCCATCTCCTCTTCTCCAAGACAGCCTTTATCAAACACCTCACTGCAATCAAGATTCATCACACAGTTACAAGTCCCTGATCAAGGGTGTCCCTACCTGCCCCCGAGTCCCCCAAGAAAACAAGATTCATTTGTTCTTGTTTGTTCTAGAAAAATGTATGCCTGCAGAGTTAAGATGTTCTCAGAACTCAGATCAATCCATTTCTCAGCTTAAACCCTCATGTGGACTCTCATTACATATAGGATAAAATTTAAACTCCTTCCTGACCTTCAGGGCAGTATACAAAGTGGCCCATTCACCCCTTCCTGCTTTAACTCCTCCTTCATCCAAGCCACTCTGGCCTTAAAAATATTCCTTGACATGCCAAGTTCACTCCAGCCCCAGGGCCTTTGCATTTCCTGTGGAATGCTAGATCATGCCCTGACTGCTTCTTCTCATCATTCAGGCCTCTGTTCATGTTTCCTACTCCCCAAGTAGCCTTTCCTGCCCATTTTTAAAGTGCCCCCCCCCCAGTAGGCACTCTGTGCTCCATCAATCTGTGTATGTTCTTCATGGTATCAACCACCATCCACAGCATCTTTTTATGTCTTTACTCCCCACAAAAACATAACCTTCCTGAGGGCAGGGACAGTATCTTGTTCAGCACAGAGCTCCGGGGTCTAGATCAGTGCCTGGCATCTGATTCCAGCTCAGGGAGAATTTGTTGAATCAATGAGGAAACTAGCTCTTGAACTTATCTTTACCCTTGTCCATCTCTTGGAGCTCTTGACATCAAGAGCTCTGTTGCCAAAGACTGCCCAACTCCTTCCACAGGTTGCAAACTCTCTGGCTTTGGTTCCATTTTCTGGCCCCCACTTCTGGCCTGGCATTCCTAAGCTGGTCAGGTGACACAAACCACCTGCTTATCCCGGTCCTAAGAACTCCCCACCTCTGCATGGCGGTTCCCATGCCAGACCCCACACAAAGCCTGCCTGATCTCTGCAACCACTTTGGGGAACCCAGGAAGACTTTTCATTCTTCCCACGACTTCCCTGGGTTC